TATTAATCTAAACGTTATCATTACACAATATAAATAGTGTAATCTAAACGTTATCATTACACGCAAATTTTTTTAGTATATAGTAATAGATATAAATTTATATATCAATATCTTGCCAAATCCTATCTGGTTCAACTGCTCAAAACTTTAGCTATTTACAGTTTAAATGACACAGATATACAGTTTACCAAATCTGTATCAACTTAGACTATACTCATATAAATCCAGATCTTGACCTATTTTACAAAGTCTTGTGCTATCTGAAACTAATCTGTACTGATCTAAACTACTTTAAAATTTTGAATAAAGTTAGTATTATGTTTTTGTAATTTATATTTAATTTTAGAAATATGTATTGTTTTTCTTGTTTAAAAAAAGGTTTAATTTGATTTCATATTTAAAGAATTTTTTAGAGGTTCTTCTTTTTTTCTTTGTTTTTTCTTTTTTCTTTTATTTTTGGTTATATTTTTTGTAATATTTTTAAACTACTATTTTTCTTGAGCCTTTTTTAAAAAAAAGAAAATTCAAGAAAGAAGAAAATTTAACAAGCTAGTATAGAATTTAGTAATTTAATTAGTATAGGTTTAGCAAGTTAAAACTCTAAAGATAATATCTATATATTGTAACAGACTATATTCAGGCACTATTTTGGCAGCCAAGTGAGTTTTTATTTAAAAGTAGAAAGGTAAAAGATATTTAGTTGTTGCAGGCTTTATGTTTAAATACTTTATATAGTTAATATATATATTTTTTTTGAAAAAATTACTTAAGTTTAAAAAAATATAAAAATAAAAAATTTTAATAGTGTAAAAATTATACTATTCTTATATAAAAGCTTTAAAAAAAACTCATTATTGAGCATTTAATTATATTTTGTATACAATTATCTATCTATAAAAAATCTATTATTTTAATAGATTTTCTACATATAATTAACTATATGCAAAATATAATTGAAAGTCTAATTACAGGTTTTCATTTAATAGGACTTATATATATAACAAAAATTTACAAAGTATATTTAAAAAATAAGTATATCTTAGTCTTCAATTTTATAGTCTACAATTTTAAGTAGTAAGTTTGTTAAAACAAACAAAGATAATATTTTGACTTAGATACATATGTTTGAAAGCTCAATATAGTAATATAATATATAGCAAAACACCTCGAAAAAAACTGGTATCTTATAACTTATATTATATTATATATATAAGTTGTTAATTATTTAGAATATCTATTTATATATTAGAGCAATACAGTATAGATAACTATGAAGCAAACATGGCATAAATCAAAACTGTAGGCTTTATTTTTGCAGTAAAAAAAACAAGAAACTATAAATTTTTTTTTTTATAATAAATATATAAGATCCTTTTTATTTTATATTATTTAAAATAATATTTAGTTGATCAAGTTGGATCTTCAGTTTTTTTCAGTTTTATAGAATACTGTCTATAGCCTCATGCGTTTTTATTAAGTTTTATACCTAAATTACATTTAGTGTGATACATTTTGCATATAAACAAAGCTACAATTAGCTACTCATACAACTTTAGTCATTGTATATTTAAAGGTTCCACCTGCAAATTATCTACTAATTGCTATATCTGAAACCTGCCTGTGTATTTTCTATTTAAAGTCTCTGATTTTCAATATTTTCTCTGTACTATAAACATATAAAATATGCATTGAACTTTGGGCTACTTTACTGATAAAAACCTCTACTGAAATAGAAGTAGCTCTAATAGCCACACCTTGCAACTATATGAATTTCTTGCATTAGAGGTAATTACATATTAGGTAAGGCCAATCTTTTTCACAAATATCAAAGATATTCTTTACATTTCTCACTGTAGTAATGCCAATGCTTTGCTGTAGCAGTTTCCTTCTGAAAATTCCTTATTCTGGTATATACCTTTACTTGGACTTTCCACAGGGCTTCACATCCGATTATAGGCTCCATTTTTGGTTATAGAGTAATTTACCTCTAGCCAAACTCGAACTATTGATCTTGTATGTGGGAGAATAGAAGCTTATCAACTATGCTATAGATGATAATATAAAAGTTTATAGTTTATGGGTTTGGACGACCAAATTCGTATATTTCTCGATCAAATTCGTGACATTACACAAACTTTCATTTTGATCCATCTTTGATAACTTGTGATCTAGTGATCGGATGGTGGTGGTTTTAGTACCATTTAAATCGTCTCATCGAGATGATTCGAATGGTACTAAAATCACCACCGCCTAATCACTAGATCGCGAGTTATCAAAGATGGATCAAAATGAAAGTTCGTGTAATATCACGAATTTGATCGAGAAATATACGAATTTGGTCAACCAAACCCATATAAAACTGTAAACTTTTGTTAAAAAGTTTTTTTTTGGCTTTTAGTAAATTACTGAGTCTTTTAACAATAATACAACCAATTCAATAATTTTATTGTATAGGACAATGTATTATTATTATAAAATTCTTCTTATTGTTATTAATGCATAATTAGTACATATATTTATTAACACATATAGATATTCTAAGTTCTGTTTTCTGGACTAATCGACCAATGATGATTGGATTATGACATATTCGGAAAATTCCTCCTCTGCTGATAACTATGTAACTGTACATTTACATAGGTGTCTAAATTATTTTTTTAAAAAAGCAATATTCAACATTGCTAGTTTTTTTATATGAATTCCACAAAGTAACTATACACCTTATGCATTTTGACATAAAGATTTCAAATATTTTTACTAAAAATTTTGAAAATATGAAATTTGGATTCGCCATTAAGAAAAATAAATTTCAACAAACTAAATGTCGAAATAATTTTTTATTAAGAGAAGTAATATATATACCCATGTATAACTGTATATAGAATACATTGTACTAACAAATTGAGCATAACAAATATCAAGAACATAACTTATACAGGTGTTTAATATATGATACACTCTTATAGATAGATAATATAAAATAGAGATTAATATAACCTTTGGTTTTAAAATTAGCAAATTACTAAATTTTTTTTAGATATATTTTATATTACATCTAATTTCAGAAAAATACTACAAGAAGTAATAAGTTATAGGTCATGCTCTTAAAATAATTAATTTAATAATCTAAATACGAAAATAAATTAGTAATAATTTGTCAAATTACAAATAATCTCTCAAATAATAAAGGCAGGATTGCCAAAAAAAAAATAAATAAATAAATTACAAATAAATTCAATATTACACTCGCCAACAATAATGTCAACGTATTCCATAGGTTTACTCCCCCTAATAGCTAAAGCTTGGTCTGGCAATTAACATTGATAATAAATAATTTGGCAAAATTTTTTAAAAACAAACACTTTAATAGTACCTGATATTTTTTATGTATCGATCTTTTTGCTAGTTTACATATTATTTGAATGTTGTGGTATAATATTTGGCAATTTTTTTATATCTTCATCAGCATTTAAGAATTGCTTTTTAATTTCATCTGAACCACCTGCATCATCAAAACTTTCCATTCTTTGAATCTATTTATCAATTTCATCATAAGCATCAAGAGCAGTAGGCCATTTTTGTGGATCAGAATCCATACATTTCTTTGCCAAATAGCACTTAGGAGTCCCAGTAGCAAATCCAGGTCGAGTTCCAAGGCAAATAGCTATTGCAAGTTTAGTAAGTTTTGTACTTTCTTCAACAAAAGGTCTTTTTCCGATTGATATCTCTGACATTATGACTCCAAAAGCATAAATATCTGCAGCTTCTGTAAACTCCTGACCTAATAAAACTTCTGGTGCGACATAAGGTACAACACCATAGATATTACTTTTTGTATCTTTTGAATCACTTAAATTACTCTTTCTAGATAAACCTAAATTTGTAATATAAGATCTTATATTTTTACTAATATGTCGATGTAAAATATTGCCACTATGAATGTCTGTATGAATATATCCTGCTCCGTGAATTAGATATAATTCCCACAAAATATTTCTAAGTAGTTTTAATTTATTCTGCCAGGTAAGTTCTCAAAATTTTGTTTTTAGAAGCGTATGAAGACTTTCACCATCAGCGTATTGAAATACCATCAAATTTTTATTTGTTTTTGTGTTTTGAGTTAATCCATATAACTTAAGGCTACAACCACCATATCTTATACATTTTACATGATTCTCAAACTTTATAATGAAATAAATTTGTTAATTCATATTAAAGACAGTAGATTGTTTATAGATAATGATTTAGCTTACTTCTTTTAAAGAACTAGACAAGGTCTTGAGTGCAACTTTGACAGATGGTTCGCATGCTTTTACTAAGTTATCATCGTTATCAGTTTTTTTTTCAATTATTCGTATACCATCTAACCAGTTTGCAGAAAATACAGTACTGTATCCTCCCTCGGCAATTTTTTCAATATCAACTAATTTATCAAATGGAATCAATTCGAGCATACTTTCATACGATTTAGTTCTAAGTTGAAACTCTTTCAAACACATATCAATATCCCTATTTCCACTCATCCATCCTTGAAGTGTTATGTCAGGATCGCATGTTTGACACCATGCTTCATGCGTGTTATATTCATTACAATGCTTACATTTTCCATACTTGGGATTTCTTTATATTCATTAATTATATGATATTAGTTACAGTTTTTCATATTATCATATTTATGAAATTGTTATTATTCTTACCGACTAGTAATTAAAATTGAATAATGAATTAAACATTTATAAACTCGAATAGCTTACTTTGATTATTTCAATTAATATATGAGTGCTGCCAAGAGAAAAGGGCCGATCGGACTTTTATGCATTTTATAGAATATTTGACTTTCTGATTGATGCCACATTGGACTTTAATTTATAGAACGTAACACACAAAACCCCTGTAAAAATTAATCACTATATATGTATAGCAGTACATTGCATTATACAATTTTGAGCTATTTTTTATTAAAGCTACCATTACAGGTACAAAAATTTTTGTCAAAAATATTATCTATTTACATTCTCATTTTTTTTCTTCCGCTTACTCTGTGCTTCTTTTGCACGATCTCCTTTTAATTTTCCAACCCTCTTTATTGCATCATCTGTAGATCTTGGACAAAGTTCATCTTGAAATTCGGTTGGACAATATGGGCAAATTTTGTTCCAAAATCTACTTGTTTTTCTTCTGAAAAACCTTTCGGTGGAAGTTTTTGAAGCTTAGATTTACTGAATTGGCATCTTTTTTTAACAACTGAAACTCATCTCAAGAATCTTTTACTCTTATTTTAGCTCTCATTAAACCAGGCTTTTCATAAGTGAACTGAAAAAGTTGATATTTTTGAATAGCAAGAGGCTTTCAATATAATGTACTAAGTGCTGAGGTCCAATCACAAAAGAGTTCAGTATGTTCTTCTAAATTTACAGAAATATTATTACTTGCACTTCTGTTTATTATATCAACTAGATGATCAATACACCAAGCTTCTGACTTTGCATACTCTTGCTTAGTATGACCAAATCCATGATCAACAGAGTTTCTTATATAACCCTTAATCTGGAATTGGTAATCAATTTTATGAAATATCTTGGTATCACATAACCAAAGAAGATACCAAAGAAGACAAAAATTTTTATTTTGGCCACTGCAATTGTCTGCCTATAGTTTAATTTCTTTTGCTTCGCCTGTTACAGAAACAAGAAAATGATTCAAAATCAAAGTAACTTTATTCAGCCCTTTTGATGCTTTACCCTCAGTATAAATTGCATGCTAATGTTTATTGATACCTTCATCTACTAAGCCAAATTGATGTATTTTTAGCAATGATAGATAATACCATGAGCCAGGCTGTTGAGGATTATGAGATAATTCTATATTCTGGGCAAAGTCAAATGAAAAAACATGAAAAGAAGAATGGTCACTGCTTTTTGCTTTTTGTATATCATTTTCATAGACCTCTCTTAATTTCTGATAATCTGATACATGAGTTATTAATTGCTCATTAAGATCTTTATTTATATGATTGCTACTTTCTTTTAATACACGTTTGTATAAAGTGCATTCATCACATATGTCTTTGGATAGTTTTCTTATTATTATTTTACTAAGCTCAGCATTATTTTTCCATAGTTGTTGAAAAGTTCAACGGCTATTAATAAGGTTTTCCAGGTTCATTAAATTGTAAAAATTAAGAAGAAGACTATAAGAATAATAAGATAGTAAAAGAATAACATCATCTTTTTCATAATTTACAGTTATTTGCCCATTTTTTTTTTATATATGTATTTTCGAACAGCCTGTTAGTTGCCAAATTATTTAATAAAAAGCTAGCTTTATTAGCTATTTCAATAGGTAAGATATTTTTAGACTAACAATCAGTATTACTATGAGGTTTGGGCAACATTAATTTACATTCTCAGATCTAACTAAAGATACGTTAAATAACCTTTGGGCCATATATTCAAAATGTTCAAAAAAAATAGACCAAATATTACCAAAATGAGGAAGCTGATAACTTCTAATTTTATTTTCTTTTATATATAAATCAAAATTAGAAGCAGCAAGAAGTATTGATATCGAATAGTAATATTTTTTTTTGCCTATAGTAATACTTTCTAATGCCAAAGATTCTAATAATATTATTGAAACCTTTTCATCACATTTTTCTTTGCATTTACAACACTGTTGGAGTTTTTAACAAGATCTTTTAAGGCCATTGAAAGAGTTTTATTAGGATCTGTAGATGTGGTGTCCTCATCGCTTGTATTTTCTAATTCTTCTTCAGAGCACGAATCCTCCTCTATTTTATCATAATCCGATTCTGAAGTAAGTTCGTCATGAGTTTCAAAAAACTGATTCAAATTTTCTGGAAATTCTATTATGAATTAGTACAAGTATAAAAAAATTATTGAGGTTTTTCTTAATTACAAATTTAATTAATTGCTTGTGTTCTGAAGAATTGGGTCTAAAGCACAGTACTTATATACATTTGTTATTTTATAAATTTGTTCAACCAAATCGATAATTATTGATATCAGCTAACATAAAATCAGCCAAATGAATTTAACTATAATTGTTAATTTTTTATTATACAGGATTTATTTTTAGGTTTGAGAAAAGTTAACAATAGAGTCAATGAAGCTCAATAGATGCTTATTTATTAAATACTATTAAGATTTTTTCAATAATGCCCAATAGATACTTATCTATTGAGTTATTCCTGAGTTCAGGTATTATTAAATTACTATAGAGACCTATTTAATTTTTATAAAATAGTGAAAATGGGAAATCAAACTTTGAAAATTAGATCCAAAAAAAAAAAAATTATTTGTATAATGTTAATAAAAAAAAAAATTAAAAAATTGATATTTCATATAACATTTATTAATAAAATATACAAGCATAATTTCTTTATATAAAATTGCGTACATATTGTTATATTAAAAATTAATGCTTCTGCTAATCAATGAAGCCAACTGTTTGATACTTGTATATATATTTTTTACCACTTTTACTAAAACACACCTATAGTGTTTTACTACTTATATTGCATTATCTTAAAAACTGCCTAACTAATTAATATGTGATATTCTAAGAAAAAATGCTCTACATCCCCAAAATCCTTCTTAAATCTTAATTCTAGCATCAAATACTAACCCCTACATAGAAAATTTGTACTAAAATTTTATATAAACCATATAATATGTGCAAAATCACCATAGATACATTCTATAATAAATATTTTTACAATATAAGTAAATTTATATTAGAACATAAAGGAATAACAATCTAAATTGTTATAATATTAAACCACACAATAAAAAATTCATACTACAATTTTTGGAGTATTATTCTGGCCTTCTCTTGTGTTTTTTGTTTTAGCTTGGCAACATTGTAGTGATTAGCCTTTGTAACAAAAATAGGATATGGATCAACTGTTTTACAAGTTTGCGTTTAACTTTACCTATGTTATCTGTGAATACTGAATTTAACTGCTTTCACTCAATTTACTATATACCTAACTGTCCGTTATATGTTTAGCGAAGTGGAGGTGGTAGCCATAGTGTAGCTAAGTTATGTTGGAACCTTTGTGTAGTCTTCTGCTCAATCTTTAAAAAGTTATTTGTTTGTAGTAAAATGGAATTTTGAAATGTTTAATTAAAACAACATCTAAAAAAATACGAGTTACTGATAATTTTCAGGAGTTAAAAGAGGTCTATGAAAATGATATACAAAAAGCAAAAAGCAGTAACCGTTCTTCTTTTCGTGTTTTTTTTATTTGACTTTACCCAGAATATAGAATTATCTTATAATCCTCAATAGCTGGGTTCATGGTATTATCTATTATTGCTAAAAATAAATCAATTTGGCTTAGTAGATGAAGGTATCAATAAACATTGGCATGCAATTTATACCAAGAGTACAGTATCAAAAGGGCCAAATGAAGTTACTTCGATGTTGAATCATTTTCTTGTTTCTGTAACAGACAAAACAAAAGAAATTAAACTATGGCAGACAATTGCGACAGCCAAAATAAAAATTCATGTTTTCTTTGGTATCTTCTTTGGTTATGTGATACCAAGATATTTCATAAAATCGATTACCAATTCCAGATTAAGGGTCATACAAAAAACTCTGTTGATTGTAAATTTGGTCGTACTAAGCTAGAGTATGCAAAACAGAAGCTTGGTGTATTGATCATCTAGTTGATATAATAAAAAGAAGTGCAAGTAATAATATTTCTATAAATTTAGAAGAACATACCGAACTCTTTTGTGATTGAACCTCAGCACTTAATACATTATATCGAAAGCCTCCTGCTATTCAAAAATATTAACTTTTTCTGTTCACTTATGAAAAGCCTGGTTTAATGAGAGCTAAAATAAGAGTAAAAGATTCTTGGGATGAGTTTCAGTTGTTAAAAAAAGATGCCAATCCAGTAAATCTAAGTCCTCAAAAACTTCCACCAAAAGGTCTTTCAGAAGAAAAACAAGTAGATTTTTGAAACAAAATTTGCCCATACTGTCTAACTGAATTTCAAGATGAACTTTGTTGAAGACATACAGATGATGTAGCAAAGAGGATTAGAAAATTAAAAGGAGATCGTGCAAAAGAAGCACAGAGTAAGCAGAAGGAAAAAAATAAGAATATAAATAGATAATATTTTTGACAAAAATTTTTTGTACCTATAACGATAGCTTTAATAAAAAATAGCTCAAAATCATATAATGCAATGTACTGCTATATATATATACTGATTAATTTTTATAGGGGTTTTGTGTATTATATTTTATAAATTAAAGTCTGATGTAGTATCAATTAGAAAGTCAAATATTCTATAAAATGCATAAAAGTTCAATAAGCCCTTTTCCCTTGGCAGCACTCATATTATACTTCAATAGATCTATATTGCAAAAAAAATTTTCAAATACATATATATTTATATTTATAATAAACAGTCCAGAAATTTAAACAATTTTATATTTAATTAATAGAGATCTTGTATTTATGACAGGGTATTTTGTATAGAAGTACTTAAAAAGAAGATCTCTTAGGCAATGCTCTACAGCATTATCTATAATTATTACTTATTTTTCTAGTTTAACTATTATACTAGTAAAGAAAATACATTAGTAATTTTATATAATTATATATATATAGTGAAGTTTGAATTAGTATTTAAGAAAAGTAATAATATACAAATAAACTTGATAAATTGCACCATTTTTTTTTTGTCATAATTTATTACAATTATAGCAGTTATATTTAAACTTCTAGTTAAAAATATTATAAACTTCTCTTGATAATAAATTTTATGATTTTGTCAAAATATAACAAACTTGTAATAAAATTATAAATTTTTATATAATAAATTCATAAGTATAATAAATTCTTGATAAACTTGTAATAAAAATATAATTTTTGTATAACAAAATTTTTTGAAATTTATTGTTTAAAAGAAAAATTTTCTTTTTTATTTTTAATTAATTTTTTTTTTCAAAAAATAATTTCTAAAAAATGAAAAACTATTTCTTATAATAGATTATTATTCCTATCTACACAACCAGTTTAACAATCTCAATATTTAGTCTAACCTATTTAATAGCAATTTCACTCTTTTGCCCAATCTATTCAACAACAAATACAATTCTCTACTTGATCCAAATCTCAATCTAACAATTTTGTTAATTCTAATTCTAACTATTATTTTCTCAATATCAAATACCTTATTGTATTGCAAATAAAATTCAACAAAGTTCAATAATTGTTTCTGGTATTATTTTATAAAATACTTTAACAACTATAGTTATTCTGCTCTATAATTATTTTTTATATAGTCACAACTGCTATACAATTATATTAAATTTTAAACTAATTTATTAATAAACTTATAAAAAAAAAAAACTTCTATATAAGCATATCTTTATATAATTGTATATACAAAATCAAGATTTTTTTTTTTTTTTTTTTTGATGTTAATGGTGAGACCTTGCTCTTATCTTTATTAAACTTAATTAAAATTTTTTAC